TTTATGGCTCCTACTTTTAAGATTTGTTAGATGGCCCAGAGCAGTGCTAGTGCTGGTGTGTAGAGTAGAATGGTCTCACCAGTGTATGCATTTATCAAAATTATCAAACTGCACATTTTGACTATGCAGTTTATTATAAGCCAATTATACCTTAATAAAGCTATTAAGTTTTTTTAATGATATTTAAAACCATGTATGGAATAACTTGGTGATTGTACTGTATACTATAACTATAACTGTAACTATAAAACAGACTAGATTTTGAAGACTTTGAAAAAATATAAAACAGCTCATTAATAATTTTCTGTATTGACCATATGTTGAAATGATATTTTTCACATGTTGAGTTAAATAAAATTTATAATTAAAATTAATTTCACTGGCTTCTTTTTCCTTGTTTAATATGACTACTACAAAAATTAAAATTACAGTATTGGCTCATTTATATTCCTACTGGAGAAGGGAGGACTTACCTGGAGTACACTGGAAATATCATACTGTTTATATTTCTGCACAACAGTGGGTAGCCATCCTATGGTACACAGAATTATACCCCCTACCCCTCTAAATATGTCTGCATCTTAATTCTCAAAATCTATAAATATGTTACTTCACATGGCAGAAGAGACTCTGCAGATGTAACTAAAGTACGGATCTTGAGATGAGAAAATTACCCTAGATTATCCAAGTGGGCCCAGTATAATCAAAAGGGTCCTTATCCAAGGGGAAAAGGGGACAAAAGAGTCAGGATCAGAAGGAAACGTGACAACAGAGGCAGAGGTTGAAGTGATGCACCCACAAGCCAAGGAACGTAGCAGCCTCGGAAGCTGGGATAAGCAATAAACTCGTTATCCTCTAGAATACAGCTCTGTGCACACCTCAGTTTAGCCCTTTAAAGCCCATTTTCGGCTTCTGGCCTCCAGAACTGTGAGGTAAATATTAAACAAAAGAATAATAATTTTGTGTTAAGCTACTAAATTTGTAGTAATCTATCTTAGCAGCAATAGGAAGCTCATAGATTTTGGCACCTGGAATTGGGCTGCTGCGGTAACAAATAACTTAAAATGGGAAAGTGACTTTGGCATTGGGTAATGAGCAAAAGCTGAAAAAATTTTGAGGCTCATGATAGGAAAAGCCTAGATTACCTTATTACCAGACTGTGAGTAGAAATATGGAGGTGAAGGATTCCATGAGTGAGGACTCAGAATGAAGTAAAAAGATGGTCAAAAAAACCTACATTGTCTTAGAGAATATTAAAATCATCATGAAAGGACAGTTAGCAGAAATACAGACATGAAAAATACTGCCAGAGAGGGTAAGAAGGAATAAGGAACCTATTATTGGAAACTGGAGGACAGGAGCCCTGTCATATAGTGGCAGAAAGCTTAGCTGAATTGTGCCCTGTAATTATGTGGAAAGTAAAACTTGTAAAAGATGAACTAGGACATTTAGCTGAGGAGATTTACAAGCAAAGTGTTAAAGGTGCAGCCTGGTTTCTCTTTGCTGCTTATAGTGAAAGGTGAGAGGAAGAAGAGGGATGGAGGGAGGAGCTATGAAACAAAAAGGAACCAGGACTGGCTAGACGGAGAATCCCCAGCCTATCCAGATTGCAAAAGACAGTAAGATTAGGAGATTCACTATGAGGAAAGTCTACTTTGGAAGAAATCCAAGGGTGTGGCTAAACTACTCTTTGCTAGTGCCTCTGAAGGATCAAAAGATCAGAATAGTCAATCACACAGAGGGCTCTTTGAAGAGATCAGGGTTGTAATTGGTGGATCCCCTCAGCCATCCCGGCAGAAGTCAGAAATAGAGATGGGGTTACCTAGGAAAGATCTGTAAAGGAGCCTTTTGTCTAATGGATGGGAGACCCGCCGGGTTCTTGAGAATGTTATACCAGCAGCATCACTGCCAACTTGGACTGAAGGGGACAGAAAGAAGATGAAATGAAAGACGGCTGACTGACTCCCCAAATTCTCACGGCAAGAAACAGGTTGATAAAATTACACAACTACAAACATATGCTACTTTCCATGAAAAAAAGTAATTCAGAAGAATGAGGCAGAGCCAGAGGCCTATCCCCAGGCCTTGAAGCCCAACGGAGTTTGCCCTGCTGGATTTGCAAATTTTCTTGGGACTGGTGACCCCTTTCTTCTATCCACTTCCCCCCTTTGAACAGGACTTGCCATACCTGGCATTCTATGCCTGTCCCACTGTCATATTTCAGAAGCAGATTACTTGTTTCACAGATCCACAGAGAAAGGGTACTTTTGCTCCAAAATGGATAATACTCAGAATCCCACTCACACTTGATTTAGATTATTTAGAGAATAAGAATTGGAACTTTTCTACTAATGAGATTAGGTAAGCTTTTGGACTTTGAGCTGATGTCATAATGGGTTGAGACCTTTAGAGAAACTGGAATGGGGCGAATGTATTTTGCCTGTGGGGCAGACATGACTCATTGGGGGCCAGAGGGCAGACTTGGTGATGAGCAGAATAATGGCTCCCCAAAACTGTCCACATCCTAATTGCCCAAACCTATGAAATATGTTACCTTTCATGGCAAAGGGACTTTGCAGATACGATTACATTACAGATCCCAAGATGGAACAATTATCCTGGATTATCTGGGTGAGGTAATCACAAGGTAATCACAATTAAAAGGAAAAGCCCTCCTCAGTCAAACTCCAGTAATAAAGTTACTCTTCCCACCAAAGAAGTTGAAAATCTCTCCCTCTTGTTGGAGCCAGGCAGACATCCCAAAGGCAGCTGCTAAAGCAGAGAACACACCAATCACTGAAAGAGCAGAGTCCGAGCCTAGGAAGCCCACCCCTGCGGAATAAATAAACGAGTGAACGATTAGCACATAAAGCAGGCAACAAGCCTTTCATAGAGCGCACTGGATAGAGGACATTTTAATTCAACCCAGAATGTTTATCCATCACCTACTATGTGCCATGCACAACACCTGGCCCTAGGGATGTAAGGGTGTCTAGAGAGGCAAGCCGTCCACTTGCATGAAGCTTACAGGTGAGCCAGGCTTCCATGGCAACTCTGTTGACAAAGTGTCAGCGGCACTTCTGAAATAGAGAATGAGGCGGCCTTTCAACAGGAGCTGAACAGACCTTGCACGATGCAAAGAAAAAACGAATCCGGTCTGTATTCTCTTAACCAGGCCTCGTACTGCACCACTCCCTTAGTAAGAATAAGTAGAAATTAACGTATCTGTAGTCTTGTTATGTATCACTAGATAGTATCTATAGATTTGCTGTATATCATTGACAAGGCTTAAGTTCTCTGCACAGGAAATACACAAATCTCATCCATAATGTTGGTTCAGTCATCCAAAAATAATCCTGTGTTGTCTTCATAAAAGGCTAAGTTAAAAGAACGCTGCCAGCCATTTTCACAGAGGAATATCCAGGCTGCCAGACTACCATAGCTGACCAGGTCACTGCCCTGCTTCAACCTCATCAAAGACCCCCACTGCTCCGAGAGTAAAGTACAAAACTAATGTGGCCTACGGGCAGAGGTAGTATTTGCAACAGTTAACAAGCACATGACCTCCCACCTCTCATAATGGCCACTGGCCGTAAATCTTCAGCACAAACTCGCGGATGTCAGCTCAACACCAGCTCTGCCTCAGACGGAAAAGGCCTCCTCAGTCAAACTCCAATAATAAAGTTACTCTTCCCACCAAAGAAGCTGAAAATCTCTCCCTATGTGACCTACGCCCTGCCAACCTCCCAAGCCACTCACCGCCCTTCAGCCATGCTAAATGTCTTTCTGTTCGTTCCTGCCTTAAGTTCTTCATACACACTATTTTCTCTGCCCAGAATTCTCTGAGCCCCTACCCCTTTTATACCAGCTTTTCTATTCATTCTTCAAGTTTCTGCTGACATATCACTTTTTCAGGGTAGCCTTTCCCTGACCACAGCCACGTCCACACCTCTGTTAAATCACATCTTCCTGCATACTCTCATTTGGCAAACTATACACCCCCTTCACGGTAAGGATAGCAATTGTTAAGTCAATAATTACTTGTGTAATGACTGTTTCCCTCGCTAGATTTATTTACTTTACTAATCTTACTATTAGCATGTTGCCTGGTACATGCACCAGGCATGCTGGCAGATTGCAGGGTTGAGGTGTGTTTTATCTTTGTTTTATATTTAAAAAAAAAAAGATTCTGTTGGAAAATAAAACCAGCCCATGTTCTGGAAAAAAAAAAGTTCTGCAATAATAGCTTGCACTTGCTGGGAGGATTTACTGTGTTATCAGGCATTGCTTGACCCACTTTAATGGACTGGCTCCTCTAATCCTTCTAACAGCCCCAAAGGTAGGTACTATTATTTTAGATGAGGACAGGCAGAGTCAGGCTAAGTAATTGCACAAAGTCACAAAGTCAGTAAGAGGTAGGGTTGGAATTTGACCCCAGACAGCCCAGCCCCAGAGCCCATGCTCTTAAGAAGCACACCATACTGCCCTTATGAATGCTTGTTGAGAGATTTAATGAATTGTAGTCAAGTTTATAGTGGGCAGAACTATGTAAGCTATACCCCTAAGAAAACGCAGCCATAAAACATCCTCTGTGAGCATGGTCTACTCATTAAGTGAGAGAGAAAGATATTGGAATAGGTGTGAATATAGGTAAAGGAACAGATAATAGTGGAAGAAATGTCCTGTAAAAATAATATGGCTGGCCAATGGCTTGCAAGGACTTTGCAAATTCAGTCCACTTTAGATCCCCACCCAAATCCTCCAGGGAAAATGTGTCACTGCCAGCCGAATATTTCATTGCCATGCCCTTTACTGCCCCCTCTGACACCCTCCAAACACCCCCCCAAATATCTAAACACCCTCAGTATTTCTGAACATTCTTCATGACAGAAACACAACAGAAACAGAGATGATCCTCTGACAAATACACGCCAGATCAACACTTCCCAGACACCCTCCTCCCAAGTTCCGCCCCCACACAAAGAAGAAAGTGCCTTTACCTTGAAATAAGAATGCTTTGCTGGTGTTGTGCAGTCCGGACACCTGAGTGACTCCAAGGGTGGTGTTCACAAGGTCGAGCTCAGTGATAAGATCCATCTGAAGGTCAGGGTCCAGCCCAAAGCCCGTGACTGAAAAGGAACAAAGAGCCATCTTGGCTTAAAATGCCAACTCGCTCACAGCAACAGAACAGAAATTACAGAAGCCACTACTGGCAGGGAATACAAGGATGCCAGTGACGAGTGCTTGGAGATGTGCTTTCCCTGGATGGAAAAGGAAAGCAACTCTTTGCTCCATCACCCCACTGATATTGTGGTTTCTTTGTCCCTTCCCCATTCCCACTCCCCATTATTGATAATCCTTTATGCAAAACCCTTGGGGCCAAATATATTTCAGAACTCAGAATGTATCATATGTTGGAAAGCTAATATGGCCTATGTACCACATTTTAGATACACCTGCAGCAAAATCTGCATCCACATCCCATAATCAAACACAATATTTCTAGAGCAAAAAGTATGATGTTTTCCTCTAATTGGTACAAATAAGACTATAAATAACTTCACATCCGTTCAAGTCAAGTTTTGCCACCAAAGGAGTTCAGCTCAGGATAGGCTGCACTGTCAGGTGAGTTATGAACAAAGTCTGGGTTTCTGAGCTGTTTTAGATTTGGGGACTGTGGATACAGGTTTGTGGCCCCAATCTACCTGCTTCAGAGAATGATGAAATGATGAAATCTGACACCACCGTCACCAGGAAAGGAGCACTACAAATCAGGCACAAACACCTATGATGAAGAGGAAGGAAATGAGAAGAATCCTGTCCCTGCTGGATGAGCGTGGCAAAGGGACCGGCCAGGAAAGAGAATCCTCAGAACGATGGCTGTACTTTTCAAGAGGAGTCCTGAAAAGTTAGACACCATGACAACTGTTGTTGGAGAAGCTTAGTGCAGAGAAACATGGCCCTGAGCACCCACTGCCTTGTCTGAAAAAGGCAAACCCTTAAGCCCGTCTCTCAGCTAGGGGGTGTTCTGCAGAATGATTCACTCAAGACTGCAAAGTGGCTTCCAGTGATATATATTAATAAGGCTAGCGATCGCCCTGAAAGACTGCGTTTAAGCCATTCATAAAAGGCTGTGCCTATCTACACTTAGCATCTCAATAGTGCAATTCAGATTGCACAGTTGGAAATGTTTTAATCAGCAACAGCTGTCAACTCTGTCTGATGGTAATGCAGTCACTAAGAAAGATTTGGAAAGCTTGCACCCAATTTGTCCCAGATAGACCAAGTGCGTGTTCATCGGGACATCGTGGGCTAGGACAACCTCATCTGTCCTCCCGCCTTCAGCCCTTTCCCCAAGGATCTGGAAAAGGAAATCTAGCCTCTCCTCACTCTCTTCCTGTTAGGAAACAGGGACTACTGTAGGGTTCGGTCAACAGAAGGTTGCACTGGGGAGGGTCTTTGGAACTGAAGCCTGTCAGCCTCAAGGTGGACAAAGGGTTAAATTAAAGGCACAGTGCATACAGTGGCCTACTCTGTTTTTATCCGGCTTCCCCTTGTCCTCTGAACTGAAAGTTTAAGTTTTTCCCTTCCAAAGGTAGCCAGTTATGAGACCGGTTAACTAAATGACAACTCATTCATTCATTCATTCATCCATGGGTTCATTCAGTAGTTTTTCAACAGACATTACTGAGGGCTCACTGTGTAACACACCCATCGCATTGCTAGGCACTGGAGATGGTCTCACTGAGCATGCATTTCTAGGGCAGCAGGGGAGGAGAGGACAAAAAAAAGTAAATTAGATCAATTCGAGATGGAAATAAATGCCATGAAGAAAACAAAACAGAGGGATGAAACAGAAAGCGGGCTGAGCAAGAGCTTTAGAAAGGGAAGTTTCCTCTGAGCAGAAAAGTGAATGACTAGAAGAGGGGGGCGATGGTGGAGTCATTCCAGAAGGGAAGATGTGGGGGGAAAGCTTTCCAGGTTTAGGTTTCGAGAAGAGCCAATGCCAACCAGGAACAAATTCAAAGTGTTCAGGAAACAGAGACAAAACAAGTGTGGCTGGAGCAGAGTGGGTCGGGGGAGAGCAGCAGAGAATGAGGCCCAAGAGTGGGCCCTGCCTTGTGAGCCACAAAAGGAGAGGGACACTATTCTAAATGCAATGAGGCATCATTGGAGGGCGTTAAGGTATGTGTTCCAGCGGAGGAAGAGTGAGGTATGCTCTGGTTTACACCACGATCTCACTCATCCTACCTGCCTGATACAGATTCAATTCACAAGGACTGAAGAGTAATCAAGTACCTATTTGGGGCCAAGAAGCCCTGAGCTAATGGGCATCCATCAGCCCAAGCCACAGTACCATGGGCCTCTTGTGGAGACTGGCAATGTTTTTCTCCAAGTGAGCTCAGATCCCAGCAGTTCAGTGATCACCTTGAAAAGGCAGGAAAGGAACTAATATTTCAGTTTGATCTACCGTGCTCTCCACCAGTATGGCAGAAATTAAATTAAGAGTGATCTCAGAGGACCTCCACGCTGGTGTCTCTCTGGCCAGGAGTTTGGAAGGTGGTTTGGAGAACGTGCCCTTAGCTGGACGCAAGAGGAAGGAAGCATCCCTGTAGCTCCAGGGCCTTGCCCAGGGCCTAATAAATGTCAGGCCCTGAATTTAGGACCCAATTAATTAACTGATGAGTGGATGCATGATCCCTTCTTTGAGTACAGTGACCTCAGAGCAATATGCATCTCTGGGGGTACCACGAGAGGACTGGATGGCATTAAAGC